CATATTTTAGCTACACCAACAATCACCAACCTGCCATCACTTTCAGAAATTGGAATCTCCCCAGTCACTAACCATAATTAGTTTCTTTTTTATACTAATATTAAGTCTGGGCAGTGGACCTAACAAAAGATTCACTTCTACAGGAGCAGTTGCTACTGAGAAGTCAACTATGTGTTGTTTGAATCTTAGCTAACCTATGATTTGGTCTGAATTGATCCCATTACAGTGCTTCCTCCTTTTTTCTTTGCTGTATTCATCAAGTACAGATTTTAGGCGGCTAATCTATGAAGCATATTGAGTCCCCTTACTAACCTCTCTCTTCTCTTGATCTTTTGTTCGGCTGGCTCACTACTTCCCCTCTGCCTTAAGTTCTCCTTTCCAATAGTCTCATCTATACTATGGCTAGCTTGTAATTCTTGCTACCTCCCTAAATCAATACCAGCTTAGCAGCCAGTGAGTTCATATAAGAACATGCAAAATCTAGAAAGGGTATAATCACAAATTAAAAAAACTTCTTTATATAAACTTAGCCTTACTTTGCTATATTGTTTTATTTTTCTCTTTTTGTTAAGCATCCGTGAAGTCTTCCTTAGTTCATCTTCAGTCGATAAGCCAATTTCATCATGTGTAAAATGGGACTAATAATAGTACCTACCTCATAGGGTCGTTATGAAAATTAAATGATATATGTAAAGCACATCCTGGCATATGAATGTATTATGTAATATCTATTTGGTAGAGGGTGGAATGAGTGGAATTAATTCACTATGAAAATTACCTAGAATTTAATAACTTCCCATCAAATGATTTAATTAATTTCTGAAACTATGAAAAAAGGGCAGTATGATATGCCATGGAGCATCCACAACCGCTTCCCTGCTATTTCAGCTCAGCAGTCCTTAGAAAGCCATTGAAAATGATTGCTTTTAATGGTGTTTTTGCATTCGTTTTCCACATCTCAAGTACTTGGGGTGGAGTTGCTAATCTCACATTGTAGTGCAGTGAAAATAATGGAACAGAAATCAAAATATTTTGTTGAGCACATCACTCTTTGAGCATCAGTTCTCATTTGTAAAATGGAGCTAAATAATAATAGTTCTGCCTGTCTCACAGAGTTGATGACAAAATAACATAAGATACTATACATGGAAGATTCTCAGAAATCATAAATGGCCAAATCCATTAGTGTGAAAATAAGTTTTGAGTACCTATGTGATGGCTAACTTTTATTTTTCAACTTGACTGGGCTAAGGGATGTCAAGAGAGCTGGTAAAACATTATTTCTGGATGTGTCTGTGAAGGTATTTCTGGAAAAGAAATATTTGAATCAGTAGACTGAGGACAGAAGATTGCCCTCACCAATGTAGGTGGGCATTATCCAGTCCGCTGAGGGCTTCAATAGAATAAAAAGGAGAAAGGGTGGATTGCTGGGACGTCCGTCTTCCCCTGCCCTTGGATATTGGTGCTCCTGGTTCTCAGGCCTTCAGACTGAGACTGGAAATTACACCGTTGGCTCCCCTGCTTCTCAGGCCTTCAGGTTTGGACTGGAACTACACCACCAGCTTTCCGAGGCCTTCGGTGTGCAGAAGGCAGATCATGGGACTTCTCAGCCTCCATTTTGCTGAGCCAATTCCTTATAATAATTCTCTATATATCCTATTGATTCTGTTTCTGTGGAGAACTCTAATAGAACAACCTACTATGTATGTGTAAGACCCTGGAAATGCAATGATGAACAAAAATTCATTATATGCCCTCAGTGAGTCTTGGAGATTTCCAGGGGCAGACAATTTCAAAACACTACATTAAGTCTTAATATGGAATATGATAGGCTATTATTAATACACAAAGTAGGAGGGACTATCTGCTATCTAAAGAACAAGTATATACTGTAAATGAAAAGGAGGGACTCTAAGTCCTCAAAGTCCATACTCAATCTGTTACCTTTGCTTAATTTTCTTTATAGAATTTATTATCACCAAACATAGTATATATTTGTTTATTGCCTCTCCCAACTGGAAAATAAAGCCCATGAGTGCACTGGGCTGTCGTCTTTTCAATTGTATCCCTAACAAATATTGTAATGCCTGGCACAGGCATATACAAGACAAATCGTCAAATGAATAAAAGTGCAAATTCCCAGAGTTATAGGGACGTAGAACTACACATAGTGTGAGAGGAGTATAGCTTGCAAAGGGGGTAAAGAATATATAACAAGAGACCTATGTGGGTTGGGGAGGTGGCAAGCAGAGGCCAGATCCCAAGACATTACTGCTAGGCTTTGTAGTTTGGATTTTGCCACAAGGGTAGGAGAGTGGCATCAGATACTTGCTTTAAATGGTCAGTCTGGTATTTTTCCACCATGTGAGGACACAGCTAAAAGGTGCCATCTATGAACCAGACAGAGTGCGCCCTCACCAGACACTGAATTTGTCAGTGCCTGATCGTGGACTTCCCAGCTTCACGATATGGAAAATTTGTTGATGAAAAAAAAAAGAATCACTCTGGTTTGGAAGACTCTTATTTCAGAAATGGCAGATTAAGCCTGTATGTTTATATGCTGTTTGCCACAAAACTCCATTAAAATAACAGAATAAGTGGAAACAGGAATCCATAGCAGAGGAATTCTGAGGAAGTCTAGAAGCTACAAAGTATATGGGATCAGATTGATAAAGAAACTAAGATTGCCAATCCCTACATAAAGTCAATGTTCTGAAAGTTAGAAAAATACTACTAAGGCAGTGGCTCTTAATTTAACTTTTTAAGGGGAGGGTGGATATAAACACTTTTGGAGAATCAGATGGAATCTACAAAAGCTTTTCTCAGAAAAAAACAAAATTTGGGGTATACCCAATTCTCTCACAACAAAATTTTGAGTATACCACATGTCAGCTGAAATCCAGGCATACTTAGCTTGAAACCTGTGACAAGTCCACAGCCAAAGTCCAAAGCCCTTCTCATGATTTTTACTAGTTCACAAGAATTATACCCTCCTGCACCTACAGTTCAAGCCACCTTTCATGCTGCCTTTGCATTTGTACTACATTGACCAAACAATGTGGCAGGTACCATAGGACATAACCAGGAACTGGGTATAGTTTCTGTCCTCAAGGAACTCCCAGATTAGGTAAGAAATATGAAGCAAAATCTCATTCAGTTAAAAAATTGAGTACCAACTATGTGCCAGGCAGTGTGCAAGGTGAAAATACAGTCCTTGGCCTCACAGAACTATAGTCCATATAGAGTGAGATGGGCCTTAAATAATGATCAGTGCTCAGAACTAGAGAACCCTTCTGTAGTCAGAACATTGCCCAGTCTGCAAGGTCAAAGGTTTCCTCAAAGAAGTAACCTTTAACCTAGAACCAGGAAGATACAGAAATATTGAAGGATGACAAGGAATTAGCTAGGTTGCTGGGCAAGAGAGGAAGTGGTAGTTGTGAAGGTCATGACAAATATGAGTGCAAAGTAGCTGTTAAATAAAATCATGTCACTCACCTCAAATGTGCCCAGTGTATCCACTCCTTTCTTACATTCCAGCGTACCTTGATATTTACAGTCTTATACAAACCCTAAACTCCTACATCTGTGTTGAGTGCTTACTATGTACCAGATGCATGAATTATCTTATATCCCTAGAACAAATATATCATCCCTATTTTACTGTCAAGAAAACGGGCTCCAAGAAACTAAATAACTTGTTCACAGAGCTAGGAAGTGAACGTGGACATTTTCATCCCATTACTCTTCCAGCGTTAGAGCCAACTGCTCCTGAACTGGAGCCAAAAGGGAAGCCAGGGGGTTTTCACCAAACATGCGTTGCAACTGGTGATTCTTTTCTTCTTCTTTACCTTTCCTCACGTTTGTTTCTCTGCGTGAATGTCCTCCCCCACTTTCCCCAGAACCCCAGGTTCTCCTAATCATCTTTCAAGATCCCTTTGAAATGTCAACTCCTAATTGAAATATATTCTCAAGAACCAATGAGAAGCCGTGCCTCTCTGACTCTCCTTCACATGACTCCCTAGGGTTTCTGCTTGGTTTATTTATTTATCTCCTCAAAGACCTTTTATTTATCTCCCATTGGCCGTCGCCCAGCCCTGTGTCGTGGGACCAGGACACTGCCTCTACCGTCACGGTTGCCTGGAAACACGCTGCTTTGAGCAGAAACTGGTGAACCTCTTCTCAGCCCCCTCCCAAAATCCAATGCCTCTTTTCTCCAGAATTTCAGGCGAGGTGTTTCGACTTTATTGATGCAAGTTTCTTGCCACGAGAGCGGAAGAATACAGTCTCTGAAGTCGTCTGAGGGATGAAGTCGCTCGCAACCCCACGACGCCTAGCAACCATCAGCTTCCTCCTCCGCTTGGCTGCCTCGGAGATCTTCTTCCGGGGCAGAGGTCGCCCCCGCCCCTCCCCTCATCTCCTCCAAGATGGCGAGCGGTGGCAGCGGGGGGGTTTCGGTACCTGCGCTATGGAGTGAAGTGAACCGTTACGGCCAGAACGGCGACTTCACGCGCGCTCTCAAGACCGTCAACAAGAGTAAGTGTCGGGGCGGGCCTGGGCCTGCGGGAGAATGTGGCCTGTTTGCTGCGCGCGCGACCACCTCCGATAGACGTGGGGAGGGGAGACCCCTGCTCCCCTTTTCCTCCCGACTCTGGCCCGAACGCCGGGCACGCGCATGTCACAGCCCCTCCACTCCGCCAGGCCGTCCCGGGGTCCCGGGTTGGTTAGAGCCACGTGTACTTCCCTCTCTACCCCCATGGGAAACGAGGGAGGGATTTAAAGAGACAGCACCTCCCGAAGCCTCTTAAAACGTTTCCTTATTTGCCTCGTTTTCTGCTGTCTTATTTCACAAATATTCCATATTGTCTCCTTTTCTTCTTCCTCTTGAGCTCATTGATAAGACTGTATACCGAGGGAGCTTGTTCTTTTGGGCCGCTGCAGGGGGAGGAACCTGCCTGGGACACGTAATTGAGAAGCTGGTGCTGACTGGGTGGAAGCTGTACGGATTCTAGGGGGAGAGAAGGAAGGGCTGGATCTGGATGTTAGGCCTGTCGTTCCCACAGACAGAATCTCTCAAAGCACCAACATTTGAAGTAATGTCGGAGGAAAAGTTTGGCTTGTTTTTTGCCCTGTAAGGGATAATTTCTAGTTTTACTGCCTGTGGCGTGAGAGTCAACTCATGATATTCTTCTATCCTTTACTACATAACTGTAACATGGCCATGCTGTTGAATGTCCTCGATCGTGCTCAGTTCTCCACTGAAGATACAAAATGTGTATGTTAGATTTGGAAATGTCATCACCAAGACAGGTTTAGCTGTTCAAAGCAGTAGTAACACAAAAGGTATGTCAGTAACGTGCAAGGCTACCTAAATAATTTTCAACAACCTACTGCTGGGTTAATGTGAAAAGTAGTGATTGTGCCCACAGTGCACTTTTGGTGATTTCAGACGTTGAGGAAAATAGCTGTTAATTAGAATTGATTTCTAAATTTGTTTGAATTAGCTTTAGCCTTTGATTAGGCCTCCAACCAATACTATATACTTAGTAGTGTAGTAAGTATCTTGCAGGTGTTCTTTACTCAGCAAAGGTTGTTAATTTGTTTGCAAATATATATATTTTCTTAAGTGGTAGAAATTCCTTTGATTCTTAGACTGAGAATTGAACTTCTGTAGTTGCTCAGGAACAAGGGTAAATATTAATGTGATCCTGATCATTTTGATACTGAACAGCTGTTAGCATTCAGCCTTGGCCACCTGAGTTCTTCCTTGTACTTCCCTTTGGTCATCTTAGGTGAAAAGGGAAATTTTGGATGGTTTTTGGAAACATTGCCGGCAAGATAAATTGTCTTTGCATTATACTTTATAGTGAATAAGTTTTTTCTAAAATATTCTCATTTCATGTTCTTGATAACTTTGTTAAATAAGTAATGCTTTCCTATTCATTTTGTAGATCAGAAAACTGAGATTTGGCTGTTAAACGATTTGCCCAAGACCTCAAGGCAATTTAATGGCAATTTTGCACTAAACCTAAGTCATTTGCTTCCAAATTCTGCATGAACTTTTTTCTTTCTCTACGAAGTAATGAAATATGCAGTATGTAGCATGCACCCAAGATGAAAAAGCTGGAGAAAGAGCTTCTTTCATGCTTCTTTATTTCACTGCACTTTTTTGGTGCATGCGTCTTGGGAATCTTTATCTCATTGAAAATCTAATCTATAACTCTCCTTATTGTCACTTCTTAAAAGTGATGATCAGTTTTTTTTTCCTGTTTTGACCAATTATTTCAAACAGTCATTTATACTGCAATAAAATTGAAAATGGTAGCTTCCTGAGACTGGGTAAAAAAATTCAGTAAAACGTGAAAAAGAAATGGATTTAAAAATGACTTTCCTAAAATCGTTCTCTAGTTCTGCAGATCAACAAAGATGATGTTACTGCCCTACACTGTAAAGTGGTATGCCTTATTCAGAATGGAAGTTTCAAGGAAGCCTTGAATGTCATCAATACTCACACCAAAGTGTTAGCCAAGTAAGTGATTCAGTTGTTTGTGCAGTTATTAGAAATACTTTTACTGTAGTTGTAACCTCCTCCATGTTTTTTCCCCACTATTCACTGATTTTTGATTTTTTTTTTTTTTTTTTTTGAGATGAAGTCTGGCTCTATTAACCTGGGATGGAGTGCTGGTGTTAGCCTAGCTCACAGCAACTTCAAACTCCTGGGTTCAAGCGATTCTCCTGCCTCAGCCTCCCAAGTAGCTGGGACTACAGGTGCATACCACCACACCCCACTAATTTTTCTCTTTTTAGTAGAGATGGGGTCTCACTCTTGCTCAGGCTGGTCTTGAACTGCTGACCTCAAGTGATCCTCCCGCCTTGGCCTCCCAGAGTGCTAGGATTACAGGTGTGAGCCACCATGCCCCGGCCTGACCTTTTTTTTGCCTTCCTTTTTTTTTTCTTTGGCTTGCCTATAGTGTTTCAGAAACTGAAAGGACCACTGGTAACTTTTCTTCTCTTCGGCCTTAGGGAGCCTTTTTCTCCTCATCTTCTCTTTGAGCTGCTAAGGAGGAGGTAAACCATAGAGGGATGTGGGGCATAAATATAACAAGAGTTCTTGGAAGATATAGGGAGAATGACTCACAGAAATTTAATTTAAAAAAAAAAGGCACAGAGGGCAGAACATGTGGAGTAGGGATATAGAAGAGTATAGCATATAAATGTCTATGTTGATAGAGGTCTCTAGAATGATATGATAGTCAGCCTGACTTCTTTACGTAACTCCATTGAAAATTATTTAGGTGAGTGTTTTTTTAAGCCAAGATCTTTCAGTGTCAGAGTTCTTTAACACTATTTAGAATATATAGCAGGTTTTTTTTTTTATTGTTAATCTTTTTTCTTTTATTTATTATTTCATTAAATGTAAACTTATATTCTGAATTGCTACTGGAATTTGATTTGGGATACTGGCTTATAAGGTACAGAACAGAACAGTATATAATATACTTCGTTTGGTAAGAGGAGGATATAAGAATATATATATATGTATTTGCCTGTACTTGTAAAAACAAATAGTAGAAGAAACAGTGAATAAAAATAGTCACTTGTCAGGGTGAGTAGGAACAGGTTAGATTTGGATAACTGTGAATAAAGCCTTCTTGGTGTATATCTTTTTTTATTTGAGCCATATAAATGTATTATAGGTTAAAAACTAATTTTAAACCATTAAAAATAAAAGGGAAATGGGATACTGCTTTCTACTATTAAAATGTTTATGCTAAAATTCAGTATTTTGAATTTTAGCCCTTTAGTGAGATAAGGAAACTTTTCAAAAAATTTTTGTCAGTGAGTCTTGGATAAGAGTATTTATAAAAAAAATTTTTTGTTAGGTAAGTAAATAAAGGATATTGCCATTTGCTTCAGTAAGTACTTTTCCTCATGGCTTATGATTGAAACTTTAAAATGAGGTATCACATTAATGTATATGCATTTTTAAGTGTGTTTATGTAACTGGTGCTTTTGTAGTTGTGTGTTTACTGATTACAAGTACTGTGCTGTTTTAAAATTTCTAATTACTTTTTCTTTGCTAATCATATGTTTCTTTAACAAGACAAAAGAAACATTATATGGCTTATTATTTTATTAATGGGCTTAAGAAACATCTAAAATAACCCATTTAAAACATTGTTCAGATTCTCTTTGTATCTAAGACAGTTATTTAGCTGACTCATGATTTCCTTCTTAAGTGTTTATTTCAAAGGGCCAATAATTCTAATAAGAATATCCATGAAAGCAAGGGAGGCTAGGGAAGTGAATATAATATTATATATTCCGCTACTTATGAGCTGTCTGATTTTTTGGACAAGTCACTAACCTCTGTCAGTTTTCTTATTTGTTGTTATGGGAGTTAAATAATATACAAAGTGCTTAGAGCATTGTCTGACATATAGTGAGTGTCCTGCATTGTTAGATAATAATCAGATACTGTTTTTTTTTTTTTCCTTCCTTAGTAACTCTCTCTCCTTTGAGAAGGCATATTGTGAATACAGGCTGAACAGAATTGAGAATGCCTTGAAGACAATAGAAAGTGCCAACCAGCCAACAGACAAACTAAAGGAGCTTTATGGACAAGTGGTAATTACTGCTTTAAAATACCTGTTGACAATCATCCTGAATGAGCATGACTATCCCTGTAGCAAGGAGCAGGGATGAGGAAACCCAGCCTATCCTGATGCTCCCCCAAACTGGCCACTTAACCAGTTCTTGAGGTTTGAACATATTCCCTCTTCTTGATCTTCATACAAATAGTTACATATATCATGTTTTGTGAACAAATGACTTCTTCAGGGCAATTAGAAAATTAAAGTAAATGGAAGAACTGTTCTATGAAATTTGGATTTATTAGTTGGAAAGATGAAGGCCAGTGAGCTCATGCATTTACACAGATTTGAAATAGCATTTCTTTCTATTATTTAACTGGTATTTTACTCTAAGTTTAAAGTAAAGGAAATCATGATGGATAAGAATTTGGATGACTTCAGCTAGTTCATGAAATTGTGAAAGTATTCTAAAAGGATTTTGAGACTATAAAATAAAGCCTAATGTAAAATAGGACGACTAATGAGGAGAGGACAGAAATGTGTATATCAGAACTAACAAAACCCTGTTAAAGATTTTTAAAACGTCAATGTGGGGCAAATTATGGATCGAACATATTGTTCCCAAGAGGTAGTATAAGTTTAATAGTACGAATGGATTGAAGAAAGATTTGGGTGAATGCATGCATCGTAGGTCTGTAAAGAACTATTAAGGTAAACTGGGTAAGTTTAGGGTAAACCCCAGCATTTTTAGGTTGATGAAGAGCACCAGTCTGTGTCATGCTTAGTGGACTAATTGACCTAGAGGGGCAGTTATTGTTCCTTGAGGACAACTTGAATGAAATAAGCAGGAATTATGTTGTGTCTACTTGAGACTACACTATACGATAGCTAGTTTCTGAGAAAAATAAAATGAAGATTATATTTAGTGAATTCATACGAAATAAGTCTTTGCTAACATTAAATTTTATTTATGTTTACTGGGGCTTACTAATCATTTTGTGTTTTGGAAAAATTTTTCCATGTCAATTCAGATTTAGGTAACAGCGTTGAATTCTATAGAAAGGTTACTTTTCACAACCCTTTAAAGAAAATGACTTTTCTAAACTGAATCATGCCTACAAATGTGCAATTTAGTAAAGATTCATTGCAGGTAACTTTCTCAAAGTATCACAAAACTAATTTAAAAATTATAGGCTAGGCATGGTGGCTCATACCTGTAATCTAAGCACTTTGGGAGGCTGAGGCAGGAGGATTGTTTGAGACCAGGAGTTCGAGATCAACTTGGGCAACATAGCAAGATCTGTCTCTGCCAAAAAATAAAAAAATTAGCCAGGCATGGCAGTGCATACCTATAGTCCCAGCTACTTGGGAGGCTGAGGCAGGAGGATCGCTTGATACTGGGAGTTTGAGACTGCAGTGGAGCTATGATTGTGCCACTGCACTCCAGCCTGGGCAACAGAGCAAGACCCTGTCTCAAAAAAAATTATAAAAAATAAACGATTGTCCATGTTATGCTGTATTAAGATTCCTACTTAGTGGTTCCAAAAGGACTTTTAAGGTGTTAGAGAGATAACACTATATTTGTTTCTGATTTTTTACATGCTATTTGTCCTTCAGTTATACCGTTTGGAACGCTATGATGAATGTTTAGCAGTGTATAGAGATCTTGTCCGAAACTCCCAAGATGATTATGATGAGGAGAGGAAAACAAACCTTTCAGCAGTTGTTGCAGCTCAAAGCAATTGGGAAAAAGTGGTTCCAGTGAGTATCCTTTTGTACCAATATATCCATGAAATAATATTCATGTCTAGTGTTTGACTGTTATTTTGCTCTGTCCTAGGAGAACTTGGGCCTGCAAGAAGGCACACATGAACTGTGCTACAATGCTGCATGTGCACTGATAGGACAAGGCCAGCTCAACCAGGCAATGAAAATCCTACAGAAAGCTGAAGGTTGGAAGTTTGTTAAAATTATTTGTAATGTAACTATAACAAATATAATGTGCATGTAACTTGGCAGAGTATCTTTAAAAATTGCATTTGACTGTTATGAAATTATTAAATGCAAGTTATAGGTGCAGTGAGAATTTCTCAAAGTTCACCTACTCTTTCTCTTTTGACCATATCTGTCCTATATTTTTGTATAATCCCTAAGCCAGTTCATTTGTCCATTTTCAACAATACCAGACCTTAAAGTTTAATTTTTGGTGAGTAGGTTTTTGAGTTTTGTAATTACTATGAATGTTAAATGTAAATTGAGTTAATTAACATCAAGCATTTACAATAGTACATGGCATATAATATAAACATTCAGTAAATATTAGTTAAACATGTACTCAAGTAATATGGTATGCCCATCACACACTACATTTATGTATAGATAGGTAGCCATTCAAACATCTTAACTTCTTAATGTTTCTGTATATAATATTTATATGCTTTTAAGATTTTAATTAAGAAAAAAGGAAATTAATTTATTTGACAACTTATGTCTGATCTTAACTCCTGAAACATTTAGTCTTTTTGTCTGTGTACATTTTCCCTGGAAGCTATAAAAGCAATGTTGTAGGGACTGCAGTAAATGAGGAGGAGGAAAAAAAGGTGAAACACGGTCTGTTTTACTGTTAAATATTGAAGGTAAAAAGAAGAGCAAAGATTAAAGAGCATCATGAGAGGAAAAATCTGTTTAAGAATTATAATTTCAGCCAAGTGCAATGACTCATGCCTGGCACTTTGGGAGGCTGAAGCAGGAGGATTGCTTGAGGCCAGAAGTTTGAGACCAGTCTGAGCAACATAGTGAAACGCTGTCTCTACAAAAAATTTTTAAAAAATTAGCCGACATGGTGATGTACACCTGTAGTCCAAGGTACTAGGGAGATTGAGGCAGGAGGATTGCTTGAGCCCAGGAGTTTGAGGTTGCAGTGAGCTATGATGATGCCACTGCACTCTAGCCTGGGCAACAGAGTAGAACGTGTCTCAAAAAAAAAAAAAAAAAATTGCTATAATTTCTTGATCATATCTAGTGAAGAACATTCTCATACATTACAGATTTGAGTATAAAAGTAGTACAGACTTTGCAGTGAGAGGCTTGGTGATATGTAGCAGATTTTAAAACTTACCTACCCTTTGATCCAATAATTCCATATCTAGAAATTTATTTTAAGGAAATATTTAGATAAATTCACATATGTATCTGCATGAAAGTTAATTGAAGGGCTATTCATAAGAACAAAAATTTAGGAACAGCATGAGTTTCTGTGCTGTTAAAGAATTGGCTAAATTTTACTATAATCACAAAGTAGATAACTATGCAGTCATTAAAACCAATAACGTAAAAAATAGTACAGTAATGTAGATCTATATTTGTTGTAACATGAAGATGTCCACAGTATATTAAGTGGGCATAGGAATGTTTCAAAATAGTGTGTACAAAGTCCCACTTTCATTTTTAAATGCAGCTGTGTATTTACATAAAACTAACTGAAATGCTAGCAATGTTTATCTCTGGATGGTAAGATTATTTATTTTTATACTTTTCTATAATTGAATTTTTGCAATCAACGTTTATTACATTTATTTTTTTTAAATGCCTTTTAAAAAGTTTTAGCATGGAGACTACAAATGAAAGAGAAGTGCCAAAGAGCTAGAATAATCAGAGACTGATAATATTTGTATGTATATTTGATGCTAATGTAAATTTCAAGTTTTCTCGTTATTATGATTACCTTGGAATCTTCTGCCCAGGAAGTTAGTTCTTGCTCTTTGGAATGGTGAAAGAAATGGCATTTACTGAGAAATACTACTTTTATAACAATTTTTTTTCTCCTTTAGATCTTTGCCGCCGTTCATTATCAGAAGACTCTGTAAGTATTCTGCTATTGTTAAACCCAAATTTTATACTTCTGACTAATATACCTGAGTAGGAAGCTTCGTTGTAGTATTTATTGACTTTTTGTGATAGGTGGTGATTCATTAAATAGGAATCACACTGGAAACCTCTCTCTTGATCAGTGATTTGATGAAGTCTATTAGGGTGAGAAATCACAATACAAAAATGTTTGCATACTTTAAGCTTTTGGTTTTAAATTTAGTATAAATTAATTCTGTTTTAGGATGTAGGGCTAACACTAAGGTCTTGGAGTACAGTCTTGCTCATTGGAATTCCATGCATATTTCTTACATAATGCACACATAATCCAACATTTCTGATTTCCACTTTCATTTTTTCAAAAGTGCGGCAATATCTAGTTGGTAAGCAGTTTTGTTAAAGAGTCCTTATAGATAACTTTTTTACCAATCTCTTGCTGTTTTTTGGTTCACAACTAATTAGACAGTAATTTTCTTTAGGAACTTAACTATCAAATCTTTCTGGACATTCAACATGATTTACATTCAAACAAGCCTCTTTTCACATCCATAGTTCTTACTTTAATACTTAAATTTTATCATTTCCTCATCAAATACAACTGGCATAATGGGTTTGGAAACAATATATCTGACTTCCGGTCAATGTAAACTCACCAGGTAAGAGCAGGAGTACTGAGTACTAGAGAGTAGCCTCCTAGTCTTGAGTGGTCATTGTACCTGAGCATCAATTAACCTTTCCAGAAGGAAAGAAGAATGTGGATTAATCTGGAGCTACTACTTTAATTACAGAATTAGTTCAATTATAGAATTACTTTAAGTACAGAATTAGTTCCAGCTTTTTGAAGTTTTTTGAACAGTGTTAATTAGAACTTTGTAATCTTTGTGTTGACATTATGGTAGAATAGAGAGAAAAGCATTTTTTAAAGGTGTTTTTATGAGAAAATTATGTTTCCAGAATTTAGAGTTATCATTGGAAGAAAATCTGCATACTGGTTTTTTACATTTTTTTTTTTTTATTCTTGGGCTTTAGAGGATAATAATGACTAATAAGTGGTGTTTCTGAGCTTGTTGCCATGTTCTTCCGAGATTGTTTTGTCATTTTCACTTAAACTTCTCTCTTTTGGTGGCAATTCCTAAATTTCAAAGAACTGACTCTAAGGGAAAATTCCTGAAATTGTATGTTTTTTTTAGGATTGTATATCTTTTGAATGTTCAGATCGTTTGGTAAATATGTAGGTCAGTTTGGAAAGTTTATAGGAAAAAAAAGTGTTTCTTTTGTTTAGGATGGGACTGAGGAAGACCCACAGGCAGAACTGGCCATCATTCACGGTCAGATGGCCTATATTCTGCAGCTTCAGGGTCGTACAGAGGAAGCTTTGCAACTTTACAATCAAATAATAAAACTAAAGTAAGTGAGTTTTTAAAAGGAAATGTCTTTTCTAGGGGATGGGGTTTCTTTTTAAAGATTTGTTTGGTTTTGACTGTTGCTTTTTGTACACAGACCGACAGATGTGGGATTACTAGCTGTAATTGCAAATAACATCATTACCATTAACAAGGTATGGAATATTCATGGCTTTCCTATACGCATATCTTACCCCGAAAGTTGATTGCCCCAGCTCTGTTCTAGGATAGGATAAGTGTTCTTTTTAACATGACATAAAAAGTCCAGTTGTAGCAAAATCACGATGGAATGGAGAGTATTATTTAATTCTCATAATGAAGATGATTCTGCAAGACATATTCAAGTAATAAAACTTCTTTTGTAGTTGAAGACCCTGGACTTTAAAATCTTCCCCTTTTCCCAGTTTATAATAATACGGAAAATTTCTGTTAGAGATATAAATTGTTGGGACTTTTAAACTTTAAACATGTACACGTTATACGTGATTTCTTTATCTATTTAGTCTGCAGGTTTTCTTTATATAATTTTTTTCTCGAGGTTTTTTTTTAGGGGATATGGACAAGTATTCTTTCTCTTCCACCCCGTGTAAAATATTGTAAGTGTGTATATAGGCAGTCTTAATTTAGAGTACTGTACTAATCTAATTAAGCACCATTTAGAATACTTTTAATGGGGAAACATTTCAAGTTCAGGTTTGAGATCCAAGTCAACAGAAAATAAAAGTAACATTTGATCTCTCTTGGTATGACACACGCCATCTTATTTCTTCCTCACAATAATCTTTTTAGGTGGTAGTCCTGTCTCTAATTTACGTGAGTTTAATCTCAGGCTGAAAGGAGTTATGTAATTTGTATAAGGTCATAGCCAGTAAGAGGTAGAACTTGGATTCAGATTCCAGTTTCTAACTGCAAAGCTTGCCCCTTCCACTTCTTTGTGATACTTCTATCTTCCTACAGCAGAAATGTGGAGTTTCCAGATGCAGGATAACGGCAATAGTAATTGTGGGATGTTGCAGGCCATTGGTGTCGTTTAGGTTTCCAAACATTGGTGTTGGCATTTGAATCTTGGCAGCAATATGTACCTACCTACGTTTTTGAATTTTGAAATGCTTATCCGGGAAAATTCTTCTTATCTGACATATATAATTGTGGGGAAGAGAGTGTGTGAGATACCTAATATCTCAATCTGAATATAATTTATACACTCAGCTTCCTTCAGTCAACAGGTATTTATTTCTGACTCATGTGATCCTCCTGCCTCAGCCTCCCAAAGTGCTGGAATTACAGGCATGAGCCACTGGGCCCAGCAAGTTTTTGAATAATAAAATGCCATGACAGAGTTTAAGAGAAGTCTGGCAGCGGCATGCATGATAAAGTATTATAATACTGACACAGGAGAGCCAACTAGAATATACATCTTTAGGATTGATTTATATGAAAGGTGGTTTCTTGCTGTATTTTAAAATAGTTTCACATTGGTTTTGAGCTCAACACTCAGAAAAAGTAGAATTTATTTTAGATTTCTTCTTTGCTTCCTTTTAGTCTTTAAGCTGGTAGAAGATCTCGTTTAAAAAGCACAATGGTATCATGTATTTGCAAGTAAATACATTGTTTTGGAAAGCTAGAATACTGTGAACGTAGTGGACACTCACATGCTCAGTTTGTCCTTCTTAGAATGCAATCAGTGTGACTAAGTTGTCTTCCTTTCTTGAGAGATATGTGACTTTCTATAATTCTTAGACTTTCTTTAGGCAGATAATGCTGTTTGCCCCACACAGAAATTGAAATTGAGCATCTTTGTGCTTCTGCTTAGTTGAGAAGGACCTTAGTCTCCTAAAACAATAGATATGTTACATGAATAGTTTTTGCTAAAAATGAGTTTAAAAGTGGTGTGAATGTATTTCTGAGGTTTGTTTAATGATTTGCTTGAACAGTGACTGTCACAGGCATACCTTGCTTTATTTTCACTTAATTGCACTTTGCAGGTAGTGCGTTTTTTGCATATTGAAGGTTTGTGGCAACCCCACGTTGAGTGTGTCTGTTGGCACCATTTTCCCGATAGCATGTGCTCATTTAGTGTCTTTTTTTTTTTTTTTTGAGACAGAGTCTCACTCTGTTGCCCAGGCTAGAGTGCCGTGGCGTCAGCCTAGCTCACAGAAACCTCAAACTCCTGGGCTCAAGCCATCCTACTGCCTCAGCCTCCCGAGTAGCTGGGACTACAGGCATGCACCACCATGCCTGGCTAATTTTTTCTATATATATTTTTAGTTGTCCAGCTAATTTCTTTCTATTTTTTAGTAGAGACGGGGTCTCGCTCTTGCTCAGGCTGGTCTTGAACTCCTGAACTCAAACAATCTGCCTGCCTCGGCCTCCCACAATGCTAGGATTACAGGCATTAGCCACCATGCCTGGCCTCATTTAGTGTCTTTGTTCAGCATATTTTAGCAATAAGGTATTTTTAAATTAAGGTATATACATTTTTTAAGACATAATGCTGTTGCGCGCTTAATAGACTACAGTATAGTGTAAGCATAACTTTTATATGCATTGGGAAACCAAAAAATTGTATTATTCACTTTATTGCAATATTTGCTTTATTGTGGTGGTCTAGAACTGAACCTGAAATATATCTGAGGTATACCTGTATTTGAAAGAGGAGTGAATTACTTTCCTCATTTATCATCTAAATTCTAGAGGGCATAGCTTGTAGAAATTGCAAAATTAGGTATCTTTATAGTCCTAATACACTGTAAGATTTGTGTTATCCCTATATTTTTCCTTCAAAAAGCTCAAAACAAGCAGTTAATAGTGAAAAGATAAAAATCTTATTTGCTTTCCCTTTAAAGCAGCTCACTTGTTAAGCCTTTTCATACCTTTAAGTAGGAAGCCTCCTTTGAGAAGGCTCTAAAAAGAATGGGGGTAGATTGTGGGATAGATATATGTACACTGGTGAATTTGAATTGCAGAAGTTTTGTTTACTTCTATCAACCAAGAACCCAAGACATTTATATGCATCTTACTAGCTTAGGCACCCTGATGAGGTAGATATATTCAAGCTCTCTTGTTGTGTTTATATAAAATTCCTTAAACGAAAGAGGAATAAGGCCTTGGAATGTTAAAAAAAACTGAAGTCTGAGATTCTGTTAATGGTGGATGAACTTTTCTTTGTCAGGACCAAAATGTCTTTGACTCCAAGAAGAAGGTGAAATTAACTAATGCAGAAGGAGTAGAATTTAAGCTTTCCAAGAAACAACTGCAAGCTATAGAATTTAACAAAGCTTTACTTGCGATGTACACAAACCAGGTAGGTAATAGACCTCTAGTGTCCTGACTAAACCTTTTGTTGTTATATGATACATGAGGAATAATAGGTGTATTAGTCCAATCTCTTTATAGTTTTTGTTTATATTTGTCTTAAGCTCATAAATATATTTTTCCTCCTTCAGAATATCATATATCATAGCTTTTGTTTATTAAATAAGTAATTTGCCCAATTCTTTGTAAGGGTGTGGAGTTGATGACTTTTAAGAGGAAGAAAACAGAATTCACGCCTTTAAGTGCGATAATTTTCTCATTACCCTATTTCTAATCTGTCTGAATTAAGGTGGAATCATCAAAGATACCAACCATGATTATAAATTTAAAATCCATCTTTCATTTTAGCTGTGTGTAGTCACATGAGGTTATAAATATTAAAGAGGTCAATTCTAACTCTAATATGTATTCTAATTAAATTCTGATTGCATACTCTTTTAGAGCAGTTTTTAGTAGGACAGTGAGAGGCAGTAATGTTAATTTATTATTTAGAATTGAGTTGTTATTCTCAATACTTTAGCAAGAAATATGCATTTTGTTATTTTTGAAACAAATGCTTATATTTGGTGTGTTTTTTTTAAAAAAACAATTCTAGAATTTAAGCATCCAAGTGAATGTTTTATTTATTTATTTTATTTATTTATTTTTTTGAGACAGAGTCTCACTCTGTTACCCTGGCTAGAGTGAGTGCCATGGTGTTAGCCTACCTCACAGCAACCTCAAACTCCTGGGCTCAAGCAATCCTACTGCCTCAGCCTCCTGAGTAACTGGGACTACAGGCATGCGCCACCATGCCCGGCTAATTTTTTCTATATATTTTTAGTTGTCCAGATAATTTCTTTCCATTTTTTTTTTAGTAGAGACGGGGTCTCACTCTTGCTCAGGCTGGTCTCAAACTCCTGAGCTCAAACAATCCGCCTGCCTTGGCCTCCCACAGTGCTAGGATTATAGGCATGAGCCACCGCGCCAGGCCTCCAAGTGAATTGTTTACAACTTGTCCTTTACTAAAGGCATTTAGAACTCAGATTAAATTAGTAAATGGAAATCATTTTCTTGTAGGAAAAGGTTAAAAATAGATACTTTAAACGGATTCTCTTGCCCTAGGCAATTCTTCACTTACTATTTTGTTTTAACTGATTTTCCCATTCTTTTCATTTAGCATTTAATTTCATTAACCAGCTTATTTTTGTTGGGGCATGGGATGTGTCTTCTAGGCAGAACAATGCCGCAAAATATCTGCCAGTTTGCAGTCCCAAAGTCCTGAGCATCTCCTGCCTGTGTTAATCCAAGCTGCCCAGTTCTGTCGCGAAAAGCAGCACACAAAAGCAATAGAGCTGCTTCAGGTAAAGGAATTACTTGAATGAGGTGTCAGGTATTTGCAGTCTTGTTTCATTTTCATTATGCTGTAATAACCTACAAGCATGTAAATTTGATGGGAAAACTAATAGATAATGTACTACTAGACAAATTCCAGTGTCACTTTTGTTAATTCTTAGGTTACAGCTTTCTTTTATATAAATTTACATAATATAAATATTTGTCATAAACCCTGAAGAATGCTTTTTAATTTGGAGATCTATTTAATGTGAGTTAGGGATTTGTTTTAGGTTTATAACACTAGGACATGCTTAACCCCTTTTTCAATAATCTGATCTCTAGTGAGTCCCACTCCAAAACCTCAAACAATTACAGAGATACTGACTTTGTTTTTATCAGTCCAAATCAGGTATTCTATTACATGTTTGAATTTTCTGAGTGCAAACTACCTTGGAAAATTGGACTGGGTAAAATTAGGACCATCCTGAGAGGCAAAGTTGCCTAGCAGGGAACTTGAGTGTCATCTTTAAAAAAAAAAGTGTATTTAGTAATCTTTATTACAGTTGGCTTTCTGCATCCACAGGTTTTGCATCCAAGGATTCAACCAACCATAGATCAAAAATATTTGGGGGAAAAATGTATGATACATCTGTATTGAACATATACAGGCCTTTTTTTTTTTGTTATTCCCTGTACAATATTACAACTATTTACACAGCATTTACCCTGTATTAGGTATTATAAGTGATACAGAGATTTAAAGTATATGGACTATGTGTGTAGGTTATATGCAAATGCTACAACATTTTATATAAGGGACTTGAGCATTTTGATCTGGGAGGGGTTTCTGGAGCCGTACCCCACAGATACCTAAGGACAATGTATGTCTCTGTTAATGACTTCTGGGAAACTTGACATTATTGCATTTACTTTCAGAGCATACCTTTAAAGCAAAGTGGGTGTTTAATAAAATTTTCCTCAAGTTAAGATTTTGACCTGAAACCACAAGCTCAATATTTTAAACCTGGATTTTAAGTTTTATGTAATTAAGTAATTGTAATGTATACAGTTAGTTATGTAAATTAAATAATTTTTTCCCCCCCAACTAAAAACATTTTAGGAATTTTCAGATCAGCATCCAGAGAATGCAGCTGAAATTAAGCTGACCATGGCACAGTTGAAAATTTCTCAAGGTATTAATGATGATTTTCATCATGATTAAAATATCACTTTAATAGAAACATGATTGGAATGATTCTGAAGTGGTGAAATGTGTGATTTTTAAATTTTTCTGTAATGCTAAAGTATAATAATTAATGTTTCATACATGAAGCTATATTGTATGATCTCCAGCAGATTTAGTAGTGAGTAGTTGGCCCTTTTCTTGGGTTACTCCTAAATTGTTAGAATGTTTCTCATTCTATGCCTTGAAAGTCAGTATAAGCAAAGGATTCCTCTGTTACAAAAAATCCTACTACTCAAATTTCCTGAGTACGTCACATGTATAAATGCTTATGTCTATCACTTGGTCATATTTGCATGAAATAAGAAAGAGGTGACTTTGCATCCTTTGAGAATGTCTTTTCTTTTCTGGTGGCAGCCACTTGTGAACATTTCAGAATGTCTTATCTTGGCCCTTTGTCTTTCTTCATCTATACTTTGCCACCTATATTTTTCAGGTTGGGGGAAGGTAATAGAATTTAATGAGAACTGATGTGTTTGAATCTTAAAGAAAACTGCCAGTTCTTTTGTCTGTGATTTTGAACAAACCTCGAGTGATTATCTAGAGCTGTGTTGCTGAGTATGGTAACCACAAGTCACATGTAGCTATTTTAAGTTTAAATTGATTAGGCTGGGTGCAGTGGCTCACACCTGTAATCCCAGCACTTTGGGAGGCTGAGGGAGGAGGATTGCTTGAGGTTGGGCGTTCAAGGCCAGCCTGTTAAGACCAGCCTAGGCAACATAGCAAGACCCCATCTCTACAAAGAAAAAAGAAAATTAGCTGCATGTGGCGATGTGTGCCTATAGTTCCAGCTACTTGGGAGGTGGAGGTGGGAGAATAGCTTGAGCCCAGGAGTTCAAGGCAGTAGTGAGCTATGATCATGCCACTGCACTCTAGCCTGGGCAACAAAGTGAGACCTTGTCTCCAAAAGAAGTTTAAATTAATGAAATTTAAAATTCAGACCGGGCACAGTGGCTCATGCTTGTAATCCTAGCACTCTGGGAGGCCGAGGCCAGAGGATTGCTTGAGGTCAGGAGTTCGAGACGAGCCTGAGCAAAAGCAAAATCCCATCTCTACTAAAAATAGAAAAATTAGCTAGGCGCAGTGGCCTGTGCCTGTAGTCTCAGCTACTCAGGAGGCTGAGGCAGGAGGATCACTTGAGCTCAGGAGTTTGAGGTTGTAATGAGCTGTGATGATGCCATTTCACTCTATCCTGGGCAACAGAGTGTGACTGTCTCAAAAAAAAATTTAAAATTCAATTCCTCAGTTGCTCTAGCCACACTTGAGAAGCTTAGTAGCCACATACAGCTAGTGGATACTGTATTGGACAGCGAAGATATAGAACATTTCCATCATCACAGAAAGTTCAATCAGACAGCTCTGGTATAGAGCATGCATTCTCAATTGTGGCAATAATAGGTCAAAAAAAATCTTAGATACTCATTGGCTGAAATAAATTTCATGGCTTGAGGGGAGAGGAGTTGGCAATTAGGAAAAAAATGTCTTAAAAGGTTCCTTAGTAGGACAGTAATGAAAAGAGGGTTGAGAAACTGCTGATCCCCTTGTTACCTGGTTCTCACATCTCTTTGCTTTCCTCCTTTGTCTCTTTTCCCTCTCCTCACCCCTCTTTCTTCTTTTCCTTGCCCTCCTTTATATCTTTCCTCATTGGGGTTTATTTTTGCAAGGATTACCTATCATCCTGAAATGACTGAGAGTCTGTCATGTGTTTTTTTTGTTTTTAAAGACTGGAAAGTTTAAGTTATTAAGGTTTGCAGTGAGTGGAAAATCAGAATTTTAACACCGTAGGAAATTTTCCATTGCACTCATGTCTACAGTAACATATTTCAAGGCCTTTAGGGAAGGACCCCCACCTTGAAGTTACAGTCCGAAAAAGAAGAAGTAGAACTCAACAGACTGAGAGTTGGGAGACTTCTTTTCTGGTAGCAGCTCTGCCATTAACTTTCTTTGTGAGCTTAAGCAAGGTATATTATTTCTTTAGAATCATTTCCTTATCTGTAAAATGAATAGAGTGCACTATCCTCAAGACTCCAAAGCTTACGTATTTAGAAATGCTAGAAAATATGACTCATGATTGCTTTCCTGAGGAAAAGTAGTGGGATGAAGTAAAATTTCTTGTATTTTTTTTTTTCATAATGTGCTTTCATCAGTGTGATGCTGATTTTGTTTTTAATCTCTTAAGGTAATATTTCGAAAGCATGTCTAATATTGAGAAGCATAGAGGAGTTAAAGCATAAACCAGGCATGGTGAGTTTATAACTAAAACATTGTAAGACTGGAAAGTGTGGAATTGATAATTCATTTGTATGTCTAGTGTTCCTTTGTATTCACTTTAATTTCTACTTATTTCCTTATATATTCATAAGATAAGAATAGTAGTTAATAACAGTTATCTGGTATAAATTTAATTTCATTCTGTGTTCTGCTTTGTATTGGTTTATTAGTCAAATGTGCCAGGCACTATTTATCAGTGAAAACCTCAAATAATCTCAGACCCGTACCAGGAATTTCTTAGCCTAATCTGTTTTATCATGTCATCAGTGTGATTTCTTAGAGTTGAAATGATTTATTAATAGTGGCCAACAAATTTAGTTTTTAGTTCTCTGATTATTCAAATATCACAGGTTTAGATCACTAATATAGCTGTGGAAGCATCTATTTCATAGTATAAACTAATTCTTTAGTGGTTATATGTGCATCAGTTGAACAGCGACTGCTTTATTCATGTTTGTGTCCTCTATCATAGTTGTTTGCAGTTGCATTCAGTAAATGTGTAATAAACGTGGTAGTACTTTCTCTTGAAGATTCATATTTTAAGGATTATACTACAATTACTTTACCTCAGAATCAAATACAATATATGGCTAAAAATAAGACGTTTTTAATATTTACTATCTGGCCTCCTTTTACCTTTCAGGGAGTTTATGCGTTTCATCTAGGTAGTTGAATTTATTGGCATGAAGTTGTTTATAATATTTCCTTATTATCCTTTTAATATTTGTAGAACTTCTCTGATTTCTGGTATTGATTCTTCATGTCTTCTTTTATTTTTTTGATCAGTCTGGCCAGAGATCTATCAGTTTTACTCATTTTTCTTAAAGATCCAGCTTTTTGTCTGTCTCCTTTCTATCCTTATCTCCTGTTGCTCCTCATCCTTTTCCCCCTCCACTCCAGCTGTGTCGGCCTCCTTGCTGTTCCTCAACCACACTAGGCAACCATTTTACTGGCTTTATGCAACTCAGGCCACATGTGACACATTGTGGGAGTTCAGCCATCCTGCTATATACTTCACTGATCATATACTTGGATGTTCAGCAATGTCTTGTTGTATAAACATTTCTAAGCACTTATTCTCAACTTCTGTACTTACCAAACCATTTGTGAACTGGCACTGCTTTAGAGAAAGGTATATTTTACAGATAACTATCTTCATATTTGGAAAACACTGTTGTTCATGGTGTTTCTAGGAATAAAGTTGTTATGCTCTCTAAGTAGAGTAATTTTTATGATAAATTAGGTATTGGCAGAGAGCCTAGCAACCATTATCTGCTATTTCTTCGATGTTTTTCATTTTTAAAAATTGTATTCTGAGAGTAGAGAAATTTTATTCATGAGTTTATATCTTTGGCTGGATAGGTGTCTGCATTAGTGACTATGTACAGCCATGAGGAAGATATTGATAGCGCCATTGAGGTCTTCACACAAGCTATCCAGTGGTATCAAAACCATCAGGTAAATAAATGCAGTAAAATGTTATGAGGGCATGTTTTTACATAAAAATAAAAAGCTGCAGCAGTCAACTCAAAATTTAGGATAACCGACAAATTGCAAGTCACTATTTTAAAAATGGAATGCTATTAGACTATAAATTCATCTTTTTCAGCATACTACATTCAAATAAAGTTATTAGAAATGAGGAATAGTGGGAAAATAGGAAAAAGCTTCTTTATTATGTGTTTACAGGGCATCTGTATGTGTAATCTCAAGAAATAAAAGTGGTAATGGTATAATACATGATTACCTGTATTAGGGCTCATCTTAAATGGCTGGAAAGCCCATGGGTGGTAATAGTTAGTGGAATAGTAGTACATGGAGTAATTGTTTATCATGTCTCTATTTTATAGGAACACCTTCACTTTTTCCAGTATGGATCTCTGCATAGGCCGTATTCAGCTTACAAATACGCATACACATAGGTGGCATTTATACTGTTAGCACTATTAGCATTGGAAGGGGCATCAGTGTTCTGAGAAGTATTATGTTAAGTTAATGTCTGAATAACTGTTGGTGGCATATCTTTAAAATTTGATTATAAGGGACTGTTTCCAGTTGTAGACAACCTAGGTAGAACTGGGTTGTATTCCAAATTCCTAAATTGGTGATTAGTTATACTATTTGTCTACCTACCTCCCTATGTATGTGTGAGTGATTTTGTTCTAGGCATTTAAGATGAGGAATTTAATGGATAGGTCCGGTTTTTTAAAGATATAATGAGTATAACTTTACTGACTTGCTAAATATTTAACTTAAAACTTTTTTTTCTTTTTATTGAAACTGTAGCCCAAATCTCCTGCTCATTTATCCTTGATAAGAGAAGCTGCAAACTTTAAACTGAAATACGGGCGGAAGAAGGAGGCAATTAGTGACCTAGAACAGCTATGGAAGTAAGTTATGAAAGGTGGAGATGTATTTGTTTTATCATTGCTACTTAATATAAAGGCATTATTTTACTTGTTCATGTTACTTTTTCCAGTTTTCTAAACTGTTCAGTAACTTTCTTATTTCTTCTTTTAGACAAAATCCAAAAGATATTCATACCCTGGCACAGCTTATTTCTGCTTACTCACTTGTAGATCCAGAGAAAGCCAAAGCGTATCCTTTCGATTGTTGTTCCAGACAGTTCCCCAAAAGCGCAGTAGAGCTCTCCCAGTACCTGTGTTTTGACCAGAGCTTTTTCTGTTGTAAATTTCAACTAACAAGCAAAACTCACTTTTAATAGTAAAAGCAAAAATAAAAATGTATTGATCAGTGTGATTGAAAAATGCAGCAGTAGATCCAACTTAGGGTATAGTTTGAGAAGTAAAAATGACATCAATAGGATACAGCCTATATTACTGCAGGTTCAAGTTGAGCAACAACAGCAAAAAAAGAAAAGAAAAAAAGCATATTTTGTGTGGATAATTGTACATGATTCTGAAATATTACTGTGCTTAAACTATTTAGGTCATGTGCCCATCTCAAACAGTTACTGTTGACAAGAGGAGTCAGTGCTCCGATTGATTGAGCTTGGATCTGATGTGCTACTCTGATCAGGGTGTGTTCTGAAAACTGAGATGAGGTGGTAGATGCTAAGCAGTCACAAATCAAAGCCTTTGCAGTCAAAAAAAAAAAAAAGCCTTTGCAGTGAGCAAGCCTGTTTCACAAGCTTGATAGTTGTTTTGGAATGGAGTTTTTATTAAGCCACCACCTTGAACTACATCACTGAGTTAAGGAATAGATGATTAGATTATGACTCCTCGAGTTCTCCTTTCAGAATACTATATATGCTGTATAATTGATACGACTTGGTGATTTGTTATTCTATAGAAGATTTAAGAACATTTCTTGCTTTTGTTGAAGGGCATCAAGAAAAGACGGTGTCTTTCTATTGGTATAGATGTATTGGCGCACATATATATATAAAAATGTGTGTGTGTGTTTATTGTTCCTGAACTCCTGTTCTATCCCAGTCTTAGTAAACACTTGCCCTCGTCGGATAGTATGTCTCTAAAAGTAGATGTTGAGGCTCTTGAAAATTCTCCTGGTGCTACATACATTCGGAAGAAGGGTGGAAAAGTTACCGGAGATAGTCAACCAAAGGAGCAAGGGTAATGTTTTTCACGTAACATTCTCTAATGCTCATTTTATTTATCTATCTATCTTAATGTTTTATTTTTATTTATTTTTTCTTTTTTTGAGACATAGAGTCTTACTCTGTCGCCCTGGGTAGAGTGCAGTGGTATCATCATAGCTCACCGCAACCTGAAACTCCTGGGCTCAAGCTATCTTCTTGCCTCAACCTCCCGAGTAGCTGGGTGCCCACCACGATGCCCAGCTAATTTTTCTATTTTTAGTAGAGACGGGGTCTCACTCTTGCTCAGGCTGGTCTTGAATGCCTGAGCTCAAGCAGTCCTTCTGCCTCAGCCTCCCAGAGCGCTAAGATGACAGGTGTGAGCCACTGCGCCAGCCTTAATTTTTTATTCTTAATTATTATGGGTACACAATAGTTGTGTATATTTATAGGGTACATGCGATGTTGTGATATAGGCATACAATGTGTATTAATCAAATCAGGGTAATTGGGGTATCTATCACCTCAGGCAGTTATCATTTCTTTACGTTAGGAACATTCCAGTTCTACTCTTTTAGTTATTTCCAAGTATACCCTAACTTACTATTGATTATGGTCACTTTGTTGTGCTGTCAAGTATTGTTCATTCTCTCTAACTATATTTTTGTACCCGTTAACTATCCTTACTTTACTCCCCTCCCCACTACCCTTCCCAGCCTCTGGTAAGTATCATTCCTACTCTCTGTCTCCATGAGGTCAATTATTTTAATATTTAGCTCCCATATATGAGTGAGAACATTTGAAATTTGTCTTACTGTGCTTGGCTTATTTCACTTAACATAATGTTCTCTACTTGCATCCATGTTGTTGCAAATGGCAGAATTTCTTTCTTTTTTATGACTATATAATATTCCATTGTATATATGTACCACAGTTTCTTTCTTCTTTCTTTCCTTTGTTTGAGACAGAGTCTCACTCCATCACCCTGGCTAGAGTACAGTGTTATGATCATAGCTCACTGCAACCTTGAACTCCTGGGCTCAAGCAATCCTCCTACCTCAGCCTCCTGAGTAGCTGGGACTACAGGCATGCGCCACCATGCCCAGCTCATTTTTTCCATTTTTAGTAGAGATGAGGGTCTCGCTCTTGCTCAGGCTGGTGTTGAGCTCCTGACCTCAAGTGATCCTCCCACCTCGGCCTCCCAGAATGCTAGGATTACAGGTGTGAGCCACAGCACCTGGCCTGCCACAATTTCTTTATCCATTCATCCGTTGATGGTCGCTTAGGTTGACTCCAAATATTGGCTGTTGTGAATAGTGCTGCAGTAAACATGGGAGTGCAGATACCTTTTCGATATACTGATTTCCCTTTCTAATGCTGATTTTAAATTATATAAAAAAATTAAAAATACATTCTTACAAAAATTCCATGTGAATAAACTTTTAGTCCCATTTGTCTCTGTTCGTTCTCTTTTGCTGTACCCAGCTCTTAGTCCTCTTTTCCCCCTTTCTCCCAGCTCCAAATTAACCTCCGGTATTAATTTAGTGTATCCTTCTAGAGTCGGGTGGGGCAAAGGCAATATATGTAGCCTAAATAAAAAATAAAAAAATTCTCAAAGCCATAGAGCTATTTAATAGTAAGTGGTGCAGCTGGGATTTGAATACTAAAAAAAATAAAAATAATTTCCTTTGATTGGTTTATTTTTTGTTTTTTATGAAGAGATATTGTTGTGCTCACTGTTTTCCAATTTCCTTTTATTTAGTAAGTCTAAGAGATCTTTCCATGTACTAAATGTAGACATAGTTCATCCTTTTTATGTGTACTGTTCCATGGCTGGATGTGCCCAACTTTACCTGTAAGCTATTGATGTATATTTAGTACATCATTTAGTATTTCTGAACCAAAGTTGAGGTGATTTATTTTGCTGATTTGGAGAAAAGTTTAAACAGCTTCATTTACTTATAAGAAGTCAAATTCTGATTCTTTCCTTGTTGTTCTGTGTTGCCATCTTAAAAACACCAGCAGAGGCCTACAGTAAAATGTTTTAAGATTCTAGTTTTGACTAAGAATGAGTAGAGCATGGAAGAGATAAAACACTATCCCAGTTTTGTGACTTTCATAATTTTTCACTATTTTCTCCTTTTTTGAAATGTCTTTTGACATTTTCCTAACTTAAAAAATTTAA